CTGGTGGTCGCATCACCCACTTCATTTATTTAAAAATGTTTAAACACATAAACGAGACAACTCTTATATTTCAACAAACATACAATTAAGTATCAAAATATGTTTTAAAAAATTGTCCGAAGGAACATCGCTGTAAGTTTTTGAAACTAAAACAAAATCTTAAGTGAATGCAACTTCATTATCTTGAAACTGATAAGTTCACTTCGAATGAAATTATAATTTTAGCGGCTAAGTTCAAATAGATGGAACTTTAATGAGGTCTCGACTGGGTCCAATCTTAGCAGACTGTTTCATATCTAATCTAGAAAACAACTAACTTAGATCGGTCTTCACTTATCAGTTCAATTGCTCTTGTGAAGCAAGGTACATTTCCCTTAGCCAGCGCTTGCTGTCTCAAATACAAGAACATATCCCAGTGCGTCACTGTAAGAATGAAAGCAAAGCAGTTGGAAGTTCCACTAGTGAACATTTAATTTAATCCCAACCACTCCATTGGTCTACAGATTGATTTTCAGGTTGCTTATAGAATTCGACTAATTCTATCAAGATTTCTTCGTATCCAACTACTTAAAACAACAAAAGATCTTGCCACCCATGAGATAAAGGTAGAACTATGCGTACAAAAGAAGTATGTCTTAACATTATATTTGCCATAGCCTTAAAGTAATATCAATATTAGACAGAGATGGATGAAAGCTAGCAGTGTAATCAAGGACGCACGTTTAGTCATATCTCGGACTCATCAACTGGATGTATTTGCATCCAAAATTTTATGTTCACTTCGGAGCTCTAATCCAGTACTTTTCGTTTCAAAAGCCGACATCAACTCTAGGATGCATGTATATCCATTTGACGAGTTCTAAGTAGGGCGTGACTTTGAGTCCACTGCTAGCTATCATCCATCTCCTCAAAGTCCTTGTGACTCATTGGCAATATTGTGGCAATCCACACACGAAGTACATATGCCAAAAGTGACTGATCTATTGCAGTCCTAAAAATCAATGGGGAAGATTCATACAAACATTACATATGAATTGAAGTTATTATCATTATTTTATACTTTAAAAATATTATTTATTATATCCCCATAATTTAAAAAAAGTAGTCATGTAGCTTACCGTTCCATAGGGTAACTAAAAACCAATAAAAAAATCTTGAACTAGTTATCATATAATGATTATTATTTTCACTAGTTGATATGAACTTAAATCCTAGTAAATGAATTTACATTTAATTTATCAAGTTGAATTTCGACTCGTAACGAAATTGGCTGTATTCTTAAACACCATAATTGTTATATCCTAGCGAAGATCAAATTACGAATAATTTCTGAGATCTATTAATGGACTATTCATTAACTATATTATGTATATCTATATTTCCTTTATTATAATCTCCGTTTTCAGCTGTAGATTATTATTATACGATTTACTGTTCTTAAGTTATGTTCAGTTTATTGGTTACAGTCTCCCACGTTCACAGCCACTTTTTGGATTTATTGTCTATGAATGTTATTTCCTATTTTATGGTGTGATGCGTTCTGTTTGGCTGGTATATAAACCAAATATGTTTGAAATAGTGGGAGCTGTTGTTGGTGTTCTAGACTCAACTGAACGGGCTAAGCGAGCAAAGGACCAATAGGACACTAGGCTGCTTTAATACAATACAAGAGTGAATGTCGTATTTTGATTAGCAAATAAATTACGTGATAAAAAGCTACATTTAAAGTCACAACAATAATGTAATTTATTGAACTGAAGAAACAAAAGAAAAACGTGTTTACATTATAACAATCTATTTTCTTTTATTACATTTTCTTCATGATAGACAATACATAATTGTAAAGTGAATATACACTTTTCTTCTCTATTTATTGTTTTCTTTTGGATATGAATCTGATGATAAAGAAACATTAACATGTTTGTTACTGTATATCATTGACAATTATTGACTATAATTCACAATCAGTAATAATCATCATATCAACAAAAGGTTTATCAAACTAGAACATTAATCTGTATTTTGTATAAGACAATAATAATAATAACAGCAACAACAATTGATCATTAGTACAACTACACAATAAAGAAGTCTATACATCAAGATGAACTCGAATTGACAACAAAAGAAAACATATTTTAGTAAGCGATTCATTTTCTACAAATCATTTATATAAAATCAAATAAAAATATATTTGTTTTCAAAGAGAAAAACAATCGTAAGAAAAATTAACAGTAAAAAAACAGCAAAAAAGCAAAACAAAACTGAACAGAGTGATGAGGACAAGGAATATTCTTTTATTATAATGTAATATAATTAGAATAGTTTTAAACGAAGAAAAATGTTTGAGAGAAACAAAGAAGAAATGAAATTTTCTTAGATAGTTTGAAAAAAAAATAAATCGAAGAGAAAAATTCAGTGATTTATGAGTGATAAGGAATATTCCATAAAGTTCATAATTGAAATAAAATTAAAGTAGGTAGATATCTATTTTACAATGAAAACAAACAAACAAAGAAACTTATAAATTCACAGCAGATTATGAAGTACCATAAATATTGATATAAAGAATAACAATGCAAAAGAACAAAGAACCGGTACAAGAAATATAATGAGACGAAGTTTATGAGAATCATGTGATATATTTGCGCAATACATTTCGAACAATCTGATCACACATAGACTTGTTAAGAACATTTATATATGAAAATTAAAAGGTCATCTAGACAGGTTAAGGGCAAGTCATAACAAAATAAAAATATTAAAGTACATAAAAACAAATGTGATTACCACTCTGGATAATAAATCAGTATTACCAGAGTAGACAAACTTCGTCTTCTCATTGCATCATCGAAATTTATCAAAGGGACTAATTGTTTTAAACAAGAAATAGTCAGTATTATTTTCCATCAATAGATAGTTTGTGAAATGTGATTTGTATAAGATTCTTGTTGATACAAAAGAATATTCATTTTCTTTCTTAATTAAGATAATATGAAACCAACGAGAACTAAATGGATGAATAAATAGACAAACAAAAAAACAGAATACTTTCGTTAAGCAAGGTATACTACTTTCTAAATAAACAGTAGCAAAAGTGCATTCAGTAGAAAAATACAATTATTTTATTCACGAAGCTAGACTTGTTGCCTAACACAGATGTAAGAAAGAAATTACGCTGAATACAAATGTCCCATTTACATAACACAATGCATGTATACAATTAAGGACAATTAAATGAAAATATCACTGTTGGGTGGTCACTGATGAAATTTATTGATCTAAAAAAAACGAGCAACTGGACAGCAGTAAATATACTATCTTGTGAACATAAATACACAAGTAGACTTACATAATACATAAAGATCTTTCAGACAATGCTCGTATGTAAACAATTCACTGTAAAAATAGAGTCATACATAAAGATTAAATAACAAATAACACTAAAAAAGGAAAGAAAATATGACAAATTTTTTAGAAAGAAGCTAAATAACAAAGAAGGAAAAAATACACCGGATAATTATATGATGAAATTGACAATAATGAGACCAGGAATAATATCTCAACAAAAGACAGATTTATCTATCAACATATTAAACATTAAATAAACAGATTGCATAATTTGGTAACGATAAATATTGAATATAGTTGTATAATAAAGTAATTAATGGTATACAATGTCACTAATAGTAAATTATATAAACAATTCTGTATTCCAATCTATGCATAGTAGCATGAACACAATGAGAAAAGGAAGTAAACTAAGGAATAACAATCAGACATTGACAGTTATTTCTCTTTTTTTGTGTAAATATAATTAGCATTAATATCAAGGGAAACTAATAAATATAATGTTATTTTTATCTTAAAACTACATTGGTTTATTTATAAACAAAACATAAAAGTAAGGTTAATAGATGTAGAAGAATGTGAAAGAAAAGCAATAGTTCAGTATAATGGCGGTTAGATTAAAAACAGTCAATGTTCACCAAATTACATTGGCAATATTTTTGGAAATTTCATATCGACTATATTATCAAACACACATATCTGTGACCGAGTAATAAGAACTAGATTCATAAGACCATGAACTTCAAATAAGGATATGGCAAATCTTTTAATGATAAATAAATATAGAATAATTAATTAAAAAGAAAAAAATTTCCCATCCGCAAAATAATTAAAAAAACAAAAACAAATGGCCCGTCAATGACAAAAAATAAGTAACATGAGAATAAGTAAACAAAAAAAATCAGTGTTCAACGGTATAATGGATAATGGTTTTACTCATGTAAAACCAAAATAAATAATAACGATAGTGATAATAATCTTAGTTGGAAGGGCCGTAAAAGTCATAAATATATATAAAATGGCGCTAAGAGAATTATTAACCTCAAGAAAAAATTATGCAATAATCAACGTAAAAACCTCTGAAACACCCAAGATAAATTGGATACAAAAAAACGTCCGGTTATGCACATATACGAATATATATATATATATATATATATATATATATATGGGCGAGGGGGACGGAGTGAAGGAACCGAAGGCATTAAATCATCAAAATGACACCAAATTATATAGAAGTTAAAATCAATAAAATTGTCCATCACTGTCATTATTACATAATACACACATATATATGCACACACAAAAAAAAGTAAAACAGAAAAATAAGTTTACTACATAAATAAATAAATAAACAAATAAAATCAACTAGTTTTCTTTTTGTGTTCATTGAAAGACGAATAGAGTGTAAAGCTGAAATCATATAAATTTTGTGTGTGTGTCATTTAGTTTATCAATTCAATTTGGGTCGTCTAGCTTTATATTATTAACACTCCACCGGTGTTGACTGCTATCTTTTCAAAAATAAAACACTACTTCTAATACTCTACAACAGTAATTACTACTACCACTACGATTTTAATTAGTGTTAATCGTGATAGAATTATTTTGTTACATTCTAATAATTCGATAGTATTATTATTAATAAACTAGTTTATTTCATCACGTTTAGTTACAGGCATAGATACTGAGTCGATTGAACTTTGAAAAGACAGTGAGTCGCCAGAACCACTAACACCAGCACTCCCTCCTCCAGATCTTCTTGAAGCAGAAGCAGCAGTATCACAAGACGATGACGGAAAAGACAAACCAGTAATAATAATATTATTACCACTACTACTGTTAGCAGTATTAACAGTAGTTATACAAGTAGTCAAAGGAAGTGAACTAATCATACTTATCGGACATGATATACCAGTATTCGATGCTGGACATATTGACTGACATTCTGGATAATTTCCTTTAATGCAAGATGATGAAAATGATGTTGATGATGTCAATGGATGTGATATTCCAGATTGTATAAAATAATCCGAATTCAGTTGACCACCACTAACACTACTGCATGGACGGCCAACAGTACTACTACTACTACCATTGCCAGGAAGTGATAACGATAATGAATGTTGTTGATATGAACCAGATTCTCGTTTCAAATGCTCAATAGCTGTTATATGCTCAATTACATCAGCTGCTGATTGTACATTGACTTGTGGTCCAATTATTGTGACAGTACGATATTGTGTACCAGATAAATAAGTGCTTTTCTGAGATATTTGTATGGCAGTACCAGTAAATAATTGTAAATCCATAATAGATCGACCTTGATGACCAAGGATTATATTGATCACACTTTCTGGAACCTGAAATATTTAAAGATTAGACAGAAATGTACTAATTGTACGCATATACAATCATCGTGAGCAATAATAATAATAATATTGATGGATTGTAAACAATTTCGTAAAAATAGGTTACTAAAGAAGATGAAATTCAGAAATCTTTCTCCATATGTTCCACCCCATTTTCAGACTTCTTATTGCTACGTAACACCCAAGCGACTTCGGGCATGTTTGTGATGCTACATATATTTTTAACGCGTAAAACCTATTATAAAATATGATTAACTCTTTATGTAAAGCAAATTACTAATCAGTAATAAAACAAATTGTTGAACACCGTGTACTGATTTCTGTAATCAGTTTTAACGCATTTTGGATGTGAGGTTCAGTGATACTACCCTCCTGACCAAATAGAAGCAGAAGGACCCGGGTGGTAAGACTAAAGTATCAGGATGAGCCAATAAAGTTCCAGAATACATTTTAAAGATCATGGAACATAGTTTTGTTATGACTCCACGAATATTGTAGAAGTTGGAACCTGTTTTCAATCGAAATTTTCAAGTATAAAACCGATAATCAACGTACTTATCTGAACTTATCATGTTCTACGACCCCTGACCAATGTCACGTGCTAAGCCACCAATCCGAGTTAGAATTCAGTATATTTCGTGTAAACTATTTTATCGACAGCCCGGTGTCCCCATATTGACCAATTACACGTCCAACCAGCACTACTGATCTTGAACCGAAAGCTGGGTTTCTATTGGTCTACTGTTTGCTAGCTTCTTTCTATGCTCTGCCTTGAGTCTAGAAGTAGCAACCAGTCTCTACTATATTTATATTATCAACAGAAATAGTTTATGCGCAGAAATACCATACCGTATCACACCATAAAATAAAAATTATACATAAATAAGTCAAAAGTGGTTGTGAATAAAGGAGACGGGGAATAAAAGACTTGTGATAAATTAGAAATAGTAAATCGTGTATCGTGAGTAATCTTGTTACTCAGTAGTTATCGAAATTATAATTAATAATAGTTCGAAAAACCAGTCCTAATTTCTACAATATTCCTTCTGCTATGACACACTTAAAACCGCCAATATTTGTCACTAGGATTTTCCAACCTGATGAAAAGCCGTGCATAATTGCTAGTACTAAGTGTAAAGGTTATCAATTTGATATGGAATGACTAAAATACAACATACTATGATAATTTATAATGAAAACAACATCAAATACAATCGAATTATCAGAACAGTATATATAATTAATGACATAATCTCGACAAAAGAAAAAACCTGACATTTATTTAGCACAGTAAATAAGTCGATATAACATTTTGCATAATAGAAAATACCAAAAGGATTTTTTTTAAAAAAACCTACAGATATAACACGTCTGTATGCAACATAATTTCCCATAGGTGCAATAATATTTGATCCTGAATTATATTGTAATCCATGAAATCCAATTAATGTTGATGAAGATGGTAAAGCAGTAACTTGTGCCGATGAATTTATACTTGGAGCTAAAGATGATTGTTGTTGTATATTATGTTGATTTATATCACCTTCTGTAAGTGATAATAAAAATGGATTTGATGGTAAATTAGGTATTGACATTGTAATTGAATCATTCGATACAACCACATGTGGTACAATTGGTGTAACATTAAACGATGATAATTGAGAACAAGGTAATAAATTAAATAAAGCACCAGTTGAACCAGTACCAAGTGGATGAGGATTTGAAAGAATTGGTAAAGATTTTGTACAATTAATTGTTACATTTGTTGTAATTGTATTTGTTACAGTTGGTACACCTGATACTGTAATCGCAGCGGAAAGAGCAGCTAATGTAGCAATATTAGCAGTTAATCCAGTTGGTGATGTAAATAGTGATGGTAAATTTGATGAATTGCTACAAATTGATGATGAACAAGTTTCAGTTAATGGTATACCTCGAGTTGGTGTTAAATGACTATGTTGTACAGGTGGAGGATTTCCATAACCAATTGCTGGATAACCAAATAAAGCTGTAGGAGACATTCGAAGTGGTGCTAAAAATTTATTATAAAATATGATAATTAATGAATATCTATGAATAGGAATATTGAATAAATAGAATTAATGTAAGCTAGGGAAGTGTTCAAAGATTTAGCTTACCATTAATCACGCATATAAGCGTGTGTTAAGATTTCAGAAACATAATTTATCTAACGTCTAGTGAACTAGCAATAAAAATCGGACCAGGTGAGATGCAATGAACCAATAATTTAAAGATACATTAAGCCACTACTAACTTGATAAGTAATGTTGTGTAGTTGGAGGAACTTAATAGGAAACCCTACTTGACACTGGTTTCTTTATTAAGGTATACATTCACAATCATGAAAGAAGGGAAATTTGAAACTAGATATCATCTAGTTCCATTGTTTGAAACGTAACCGCTATGCAATTTGGACCATATAGAAACAAATCACGCGATGTTAAATTAACTAATCTGTGGACCACATTAGTAATCGATCGATAGGATTCAGTCAATATTAATGTACTAAACAAAAGTGACATTGGTCACTATTTAGTGGTCAATCAACTGTAAATTCAAAAATAGGAAGTACCGAAAAATTGCTTCAACCTTTTTAGGAAAGTTCCAGAAGTTTACAGTGTCATCGCTCAAAAGGTGGAATACATTGTACTTTATTATATACACCGAAAGATTTGTGATAAAGAACACGGCTAGTAAGTTAAACAAATGCTCTACGAAAAAAACTAGTAATAAGAAACATAATTATTCTATTCAATGTAATGAACATTGTTGCTTTGTTCCCCACAAGGTGGTGATTACACATATCGATGATAATCTATTCTATGTCAACTAATTTTCATGGGTTTATGTAAAAACTATTGCAGTTAAAATTGATGATATAAAAATATTAAAATTCAGAATATAATAATAATAATAATAATACCCACACAAATAGCAATGAAAAACCAAAATAGCTTAACTACTCTAGGTTAATTGAAATCATATGCGACAATAGTGTTACTAATGTTATTTGCATTGTAACAACCTACCACCTCTCGAAGAATTACGGCGTTTTTATGTTGTTTGGTACTAAATCAACAGGGTGCATATAGAGACTTTAGTGAAGCGAGGATTCCATAATGGGTTGCGATCTAGAACAGTCAGTATTTTGTCAGACGGTTTTTCAAGTCATGAACAACTTGACGTCAAATAACCATACAATAACACTCATTTATTTAAAGTAAGCTCAACAGTTTAATACAAAACGTGACAGTTATACGACTGAGAATCACTTCTGATTTCACGTACAATAATAAGCATTATAATTATATGGTTCCGTGCAATGTATCTTACCAAGTTTGACTTACAGACATAACTAACATTCACAAAACAAAAAGACCAAGATGGCTAATGTTTGGATGCTAAACACAATAAACTTTGGAAATCGAGTTTACATTTAAGCGAATGAAACCATTTTCAATGATTTAAGAAGAAAACCTGGACAACATCAATCTACGGTTTCATAAATGACAATATATTAAGTACATAAAACAATAAGCATCCATAAAAGTGAATCTTCCATACACTATTCAACCCAATCCCCACCTGGAATAAATGAAGATGAAGGAAAGTATACTGGAGGTGATAATGCAGAACGACTTGACTGAGAATCTTGTGGTTTAGGTGATATAAATGATCCAGTTAAAGCTTGTTGTGCAACTGATACTGTTGTTAATGCAGAAGCAGCATTAAGATCAGGCACTATTACATCGAATCCAGTTCGTCCTGAAATATTTGACCATGGTGAACTACTACCACCCATACCAACAGTTTGTGAAAATAAATCTCCTGATAAATTACTACATAGAGTTCTATCATTACCAGTGTTAGGCAGTATAGACGGCAAAACCATTGAGCCACCAGTAGCTGTAGGATTCGATGTTAAAGCTGCAATTGTTGCAATATCTGGTGTTGATTGAAAATTCGGTGGAAAAAATCCAAATGTAGTACTACCACCTGGTGAAGATATAAATGATGATGTGGTTGGTTGTGACGATGGACCAGGTGTAAATGCTACAGCTGCTGCCATCATAGTTGCTGCTGCTGCAGCAGCGGCCGCCGCTGCTGTAGCAGAAGCTGAATTTGTATCAATTGATGGATTAGATAAAATAGTCGAACTTGTTAAATAAGGAATAATTGGTGTTGCATATGGTGAACCAGTTGGATAAACACTAGCTACTGGTCCTTGAATATCATGATATGAAAGATTCGGACAACTAGATGATTGTGGATCTGTAGCAATAACATTTAAAATTAAATGAACAGCAGCTCGTGCTTGATCTAATTCACCTAAAATAATAAAATTAAAATAACAATTATTAACTTGAAATTTTTATTCAAGTCCAAATTTGTTTTTAATAATGAGAATTATGACATTTTATTATTAATAAGTATATCTTCTATTACTTAATTACTTACTTACGCCTGTTATTCTCAATGGACCATAGGCCGCCGACCAGCAATATCTTCTATGGTTAGGGTTTTTTAGTAAAATTGTTTTCTACTACTACTACTACTACTACAATCATCATCAAAAATGTACAAGTACTTATAGCTGACCGTTTACTCGTTTATTTGTTGACCGGAAACTATCAGCAACAGCCTACTGTGGAAGAGAACAAACCAGATTCCATCTGAAGAAGAAATTAGGAAACGACGTTGAAAGTGGATAGAACAAACATTGCGGAAACCCACAAACTGTATCACGAGGCAAGTGCTAACTTAGAATCCTGAAGGGCAACGGAAAAGTGGGAGGCCAAAGAACATACCACGTTAAGAATTGGAAGCAGACATGAAAAGGATGAATAGCAACTGGAAAGGATTGTCCATGAGAGATTAGGATGGATGATACTGGTGGGTGGTCTATCCTCCTTCACTAGGGGTGAGAGGCATAAGTGAGTATGTCTTCTATGGGAATGATTTTATTTGAAAGTGTTAGTAACTGTATATTGTTATGTGTAGATGGTCAAATTCGAAGATTCCCATCACAGAGTATAACAAAGTGATTGAACAGTACTATGTACTTTTCAAATACGAAGAAAACATTGAATAAGGTTCCATAGGATGCTATGTGAATGCATTAAGGAAGAGATTAGAAATGAGTTTCAGAAACATTTTTCTGAAGCCAAAAATAAGTATGAGAAACTAATATATCAAAAAGCAATTAACTCTATATGTTTATTACTTTTAATAAAGCACTGTAAAATCAGAGTAACACTAAAACTTTTCTCCAGGCTCCCTAATGATCTACCAGCTAATGCTAAACAACTACGTGATAAAAATTATTTCCGATCTGTACAAAATCTCAACTTCAAAAAAAATTTATTCAAATCTGTCTGAAAGAGCCTCTATTTTTATCGTTATTAATACATGACAGTAGCATAATATTTTAGATAAAAAAAACAGGATTCCCACGAAATTAACAATATACATCAGAAATGTACAACACTGTTCACATCAGTATTTAAAATTTTCTTTCTTTGAAAAAAAAACACAGTTAAGTTGTTATAACTTATACGGCTGTCAAATACCACATGGCAAAATCGTCAATCAAAATACCGACTTATGTGACTTTATCCCTATGCTATGCCAGCACTAGTAGCCTTGAGTCGATTCTGAATTCTTATTGGTTCTAGATAATAATAGCTTCTTATATAACCCAGACGTTCAGTTCAGAACACAATATTCGCCTCCACTGTATGAATAACATATTTCGGACATCCAGAGCAGAAAGCATCACACCATATAATTCAGAATAATAATTATACAAGATCAAACCAACAGTGGTTGAGTATGGGAGACTGAAGCTAAAAATTTGGGAATAAACTAAAAAATGGTAGCCAGTAGATCGAATGAAAGCATATGATAAAAGAAATATAAATATACACAAATTAGTTGCTCAATCAATATGCGATAAAGTTCTATATATAATAACGGCCAATAAATAATTCCCAGAAGTTTCCAATAATTTAGTCTTCTTCGGATACATCATAAATAACTTACCGGCAACAACAATGCATCGTTCTAAGAGATTGAATTCACGAGATTTTTGTGAAATTTGCACATATGCACCAGTTTTCTCTTTGATCTCTTGAATATATGATCCACCTTTCCCTATAACCATACCAGCTGTACTATTCGGTACAAGAATTTTCACCTGTAAATCAAATTTTAAAAAATTAAAACAAAAAGTAAAATATTGGAAAAAGAAAGAATACTTTTAAGGAAAATATTGACAATAAAAACTGATCCCGGGTAATTTAGTTGAACTGAAGTGTGGACGATAATATGATTATGTATGAATCAATAACACAGTAAACAGAAGGAAACGACAACATAACAAACAAAAATCCTACCTGCTTATGACGTTCAACATTCAGTCTGCCTTCCCCAGTTGTATTTGGATTAGGATCAGGTTTTTCCATGATTCGATCCATTATATAATTATGTACAGTGATGACACCATCGAACGATCCAATAATTAGGCAAACACGTTCTGTTGTACCTGAGAGTAGTGGACCATGGACATATGTACAAGCATTCATTCATGAACAAACACATACACACACAAATACATTCAACAATTTAAATACAAATCAGTACATACAAACATGCAAGCGATAATACACAACATGAACAGACACACAATGAACAAATCAAACAATAATTGGTACGCGAGCCAGCCACCACGTTCAATTAGATATCAACATTCATATCCCGATCATAATCAAACATCATCAAACAGACAATCATACAAATGGGAAGGATGATAAAAATAAAAGAAGCAAAATTCTGATAGTCCTTTTTGTTGATGAGAATGAAGATGATGATGACGATGATGATAACAGAGGCATAAGTAAATAATGAACATTAAATAAAGGAAATATATATAAACATATATATACAACCATGAAACATTTTTCATGGTAGGTGATAGGCATAAAAACTTCAGACAAGAATAAATTATAATGATATAATGATGGATGGTGTTTACGATGTAGATAATGATCGAAATGACGCAATAACAGTGACCATAATGAACTCTGTATACACACTTGAGAATAACTGGTGATAAATGAGAAAATGAAACTAAGAATGGAGAGAATGATGAAGGTGATCATAAACTGATTGTTTCATTACTGATAAAGATGGTTTTAGGTAAATAATATAGGTTTATTAGTGTCTATTATTATTCATTAGGTGTAAATTATGTTTTATACCTTGGTGTCGCCTTTTTATATCAAAATATATACACTGATATTTAGAAGGTTATAATTTATAATAAATAATTAAATACTGACTTCTCAGCATTACATGATCATAAACATTAGTGTGAGGATAATCATACTTTTCACTGTTTAATAAAAATGCAATATATAGCATTTTGTAGTATTTTTTCCCGTTCATTCAGTGGGTCAGTACTGTTAATAAGAGTGTAGTTTTCATCAGTGGTTTCATTTCAACAATCTAAAGTAATCTACATATGCCTTCTATAAACACGACACTGTAGCGCATCTCAACTCCGCCTGGAGCCCCTTTCCGGGGGCTACTGCCGGTCCCAAGCCCGGATAAAGGAGGAGGGTTGGGCATGGGGTTAGCGACCCCATCCCGTAGAAAACTAACTCGCTAAAAAAACGCTAACCAGAAAAAATTATTCAAACCATTTAAACTCTGCCCTGGGAGTCAGAAGGTCTTCGTTTAGAAGAATTATGACGCCTCACGATGAAAGCCGAGTTTCTTCGGAAGTCACGAGGCCGATGCCCCTTCTGACAACCACAGCAACCATTTATTTAGGTACATGGAATGCTCGCACAATGTGGGAGACTGGGAGAGTTTTCCAAATTGCTGCAGAAATGAGGAGATACAATTTAGAGGTGCTTGGGATCAGTGAAACACATTGGACGCAAGTTGGACAACAACGACAAGCTTCAGGGGAGCTGCTGTTATACTCCGGACATGAACAAGAAAATGCCCCACATACACAAGGAGTTGCATTGATGCTGTCCAAACAAGCACAAAATGCACTTATAGGATGGGAATCTCATGGACCAAGGATCATCAAAGCCTCCTTCAAAACAAAGAAAACGGGCATTACAATGAACGTCATCCAATGCTATGCGCCTACCAACGAATACAACGAAGACGCTAAAGACCAATTCTACAATAGGCTGCAGTCAATCGTCGAGAAGTGCCCAACAAAAGACCTGACTATTCTAATGGGAGACCTAAATGCCAAGGTTGGAACTGACAACACCAGATATGAAGAGATCATGGGACGACACGGACTGGGAGAAAGGAACGAAAATGGTGAGAGATTTGCAAATCTATGTGCCTTCAATAAACTGGTCATAGACGGCACTATATTCCCACATAAACGCATACATAAAACCATGTGGACTTCACCGGATCACACCACACAGAACCAAATCGACCATATCTGCATCAACAAAAAGTTCAGGAGGACGATGGAGGACGTGAGAACCAAGAGAGAAGCTGATATAGCATCAGATCATCACTTGCTGGTCACCAAGATGAAATCGAAACTCAAGAGGCACTGGACAACGGGGCGGACAATATCACAGAAATTTAATAAGGCTCTTCTTCGGGATACTGACAAACTCAATATATTCAAGATAACCCTCAGCAATAAGTTCCAAGCCTTTCATGATCTACTCAATGGAGAAGGAACTACTATGGAGAGCAACTGGAAAGAGATAAAAGAAGCAATCACTTCAACATGTCATGAGGTTCTGGGCCAAAAGAAGCACCATCACAAGGATTGGATCACGGTCGATACACTGGATAAGATTCAAGAAAGGAGGAACAAGAAGACAGCAATCAATACCAGTCGAACAAGAGCAGAAAAAGTCAAGGCACAGGCTGAATACACAGAAGTAAACAAGCAAGTGAAAAGGAGCATCAGAACTGACAAACGTAAATATGTGGAGGATTTGGCAATGACGGCGGAAAAGGCTGCCAGAGAAGGAAACATGGGACAACTGTATGAAACAACAAAGAAACTCTCTGGAAATCACCGTAAACCAGAACGACCAGTGAAAAGCAGGGAAGGCAAGATAATCACCAACATTGAAGAACAACGAAACAGATGGGTAGAACACTTCAAAGAACTCTTGAATCGACCAGCCCCACTGAACCCACCCAACATCGAAGCAGCACTCACGGACCTCCCAATCGATGTTGGCCCACCAACATTTGAAGAGATCAGCATGGCTATCAGACAAATCAAGAGTGGCAAAGCAGCAGGACTAGACAGCATTCCAGCAGAGGCACTGAAAGCAGACGTAGCGGCAACTGCAAGGATACTCCACATTCTCTTCAAAAAGATCTGGGATGAGGAACAGATACCAAAAGACTGGAAAGAAGGACTTCTAGTCAAAATACCAAAGAAAGGCGATCTCAGCAACTGTGACAACTACAGGGGAATCACTCTTCTTTCAATACCAGGAAAAGTCTTCAACAGGGTATTGTTAAACAGGATGAAGGACTCCGTAGACGCCCAACTTCGAGACCAACAGGCAGGATTCCGTAAGGATAGATCGTGCACAGACCAAATCGCAACTCTACGGATCATTGTGGAACAATCAATTGAATGGAATTCATCACTCTATATCAACTTCATCGACTACGAAAAAGCATTTGATAGCGTGGACAGAACAACACTATGGAAGCTTCTTCGACACTACGGCGTGCCTCAGAAGATAGTCAATATCATACAGAATTCTTACGATGGATTAAACTGCAAAATCGTTCATGGAGGACAGTTTACAAAGTCGTTCGAAGTAAAGACTGGTGTCAGGCAAGGTTGCTTACTCTCACCCTTTCTCTTTCTCCTGGTGATCGACTGGATCATGAAGACATCAACATCTGAAGGGAAGCACGGGATACAGTGGACATCTAGGATGCAATTGGATGATCTAGACTTTGCAGATGATCTGGCTCTTCTATCGCATACACAACAACAAATGCAGGAGAAGACAACCAGTGTAGCTGCAGCCTCAGCAGCAATAGGTCTCAATATACACAAAGGGAAAAGCAAGATTCTCCGGCACAACACAGCATGCAACAATCCAATCACAATTGACGGAGAAGATTTGGAAGATGTAAAATCCTTTACATATTTGGGCAGCATCATCGATGAACACGGTGGATCTGATGCAGATGCGAAGGCACGGATCGGCAAAGCAAGAGCAACATATCTACAACTGAAGAATATCTGGAACTCAAAACAATTAGCAACCAACACCAAAGTCAGAATTTTCAATACAAATGTCAAGACAGTTCTACTGTATGGGGCGGAAACCTGGAAAACTACGAAATCCATCGTCCAAAAGATACAGGTGTTTATTAACAGTTGTCTACGCAAAATACTTCAGATCCGCTGGCCGGACACTATAAGCAACAACCTACTATGGGAGAGAACAAATCAGATCCCAGTGGAGGAAGAAATCAGGAAGAAGCGCTGGAAGTGGATAGGACACACATTGAGGAAAACACCCAACTGCGTCACAAGACAAGCCCTCATATGGAATCCTCAAGGTCGAAGGAGGAGAGGAAGACCAAAGAATACATTACGCCGGGAAATGGAGATAGATATGAGAAAAATGAACAAGAATTGGATGGAACTAGAAAAGAAGGCACAGGACAGAGTGGGTTGGAGAATGCTGGTCGGCGGCCTATGCTCCATTGGGAGTAACAGGCGTAAGTAAGTAAGTAAGTAACGCATCTCAAATTTCCAGATGAAAAAAAGCGAACCCAGTGAAGGTAGCAGCTTAAGATGAAATCATCAGTGGAAATTATGCTTTCATGTGCAGCATTCACTCACTAAATGAACAGAGAAATGCTAGATACTGAACACATATTGAAAAGCAGATGTGTTACACGTTCAACGATACAAATCCTAACCCTAAACGTTGTCATTACTTAACAAGTGAGTCAATCAAATTAAACAACAGAAACTCAGATAACCAAATAAAATCATGTCACTGACTGAATCTATTCATGAAAATCTATTTATCCGTTGAGATCATTTTTAAAGTACAGATAAATTTGAATGACTTTTACTCATTCAAGACTTAAATAAACGTGTAAAACATATTAAATCGAGAAAAGACTAATGATATTTATGAAAACAAAATTGTAAAACGCATGAAAGATTATGAGTATACATTTTATTTGCAGAGATATTACTCACTAAAGGATATTTGAAATACTACGACCATGTGACACATAATAAGTACCGGTTTATGTACACGGCATTGAGTCACGAGACAATATGTGTGAGACAATAGTATTACCCTGTTGTCCAAATTGAAAAAATTGAAGTGAGGTTCAAACTTTGGATTAGAACAATAAGGACCGTATACATAGAGCATACAATCAACTCCGAACCTAACACACAAAAATAGCATTATTCACTGTGCCATCGCCCATAGGAAAAAAAGGCAATCCAAAAGTTATGAGAATACCATTAGAGGATCCAACATG